AAAATGTCTTTGTGTGGTCCTCAAGGGTAGGGCTGGGTACCGAGTTCGGTACTTTTTAGGTACCGACCGAATTGCCTCGATACTACCGAGTATCGAAACATGTCTTGTTTTTCGGTACCACATTTCGGTACCTAAGTGGTTAATCTCGTCAATGTCAGTGAAACAATAAGCATGCAGCATGATTGGCTGTGGCGGAAAAACACTAGTTTACGCGGCTGCCCAGAGACGCGGCTCGTCGCACGTGAGGCTGCAGTGTGTGTGTGTGTGTGTGTGTGTGTGTAAGCCTGCGTCCCAACCCAGATAGATAGAAAATATGTGGAAATGATACAAAGTGTACCTATGTCATGTGCCAGACTCGATGCCAGATGCACGCGATGCAATATTTTCGACAAGATCATTGCTGCCAAGACCGGCAACACGGTAAATCTAGGCACTGAAGCGCACAAAATACACTTGAGAGTAATGGTGTTCACATCGAACGCGAATAGAGCGTCAAATACGCGTCTATCGCGTCTAGTTCGACGCTTGAATCTTCAGCTCGAGTTCAAATTTTTCAACTTGCGCGGAAGACGTTCGCGGCAAACGCGTCACCCAATTCGCGACGCCCGGCGCGAATGATGCGTCTATTCGCGTCTTTGCATTGACTATGTATGTAATCTACTCGCACAAATAATTAAATTCGCGTTCGGTGTGAACACACCATTAGTAAACACTTGTTCATTAATAAATAATTAAAATATCTCCTTGCTATTGTTTCCACATCCATAATCATTAGGCTACTTTTGCCAGTGCTTTGCTGCAAGCTTCACGTGCAGGTATATATCCCGCCCCCCAGTAGCCTATATTTAATTTAATTCACATTTATTTGTATAGCATTTTTCACAATACATATCGTTTCAAAGCAGCTTTACAGAAAATGCATGTCTAAATTACAATTTAGAGTGATCTGTTATCAGAGGTGACAGTGTAATGCATTTCAATTAATTTTCATTCAGTTTCATCGTTAATTAATGCATTAAGTTAAAGCAGAAACAATGAGCTCATTGAAGTAAAGAATACATGTTGTTAAATGATTAGGAAACAAAGAAAACTTTAGCATTGGTGCTTTTTAACATACTCAAAATATGAGTGTAAAAAAGTCAACAAACTGAAAAAAAAATTAGGTAATGTTATATTGTTAAACCTGGTTACATAAAATTGGTATCGAAAAAAGTATCGTTCAGGAACCGGTATCGAAGTCAAGGTATCGGTATCGGTACCGAACATTTTGTTACGATACCCAGCCCTACTCAAGGGTTTGCTCTTCCTGCTCTAAGCAGAACGGGGGGGGGGGGGGGGGGGCTATTGTACCGTTAAAGCGAACGAACACGGAGTAGCAAAATAAACAGACTTTACTACAGATCCTTAGAACTCTTAGGGAATATAACCAAACAACCAAATTCAAATACGACCGCAAACAAAGAACTAACAGAACTCAGGGTTTAAATACGAGCTAATGAACTAGAACTGAAACAATCAGAAACCATAGAAACCATAGAAACAAAAATTAGAACTCAGGCAAACAAAAACAAGGAAAGCCAAACTAAAGCACAGAAACTGACCATAACATAAAAAAAATATATATTTATATTTAGTTGTAATAATGTATTTTATTTCAGTTTTAGTAATTTTAGTACTTTAGTTTTTATTTCAGCTTTATTTAAATGACAAAAAATATTTTTAGCTAACAATACTGATACTTAGTATAATAGAATATAGTACGGTACAATAATGCAGATTTATCAACAACATCAATTTATGTAAGTGCACAGCTGAATCTTTTGCACTATTTTTTTTTTCTCAACAGGGAAAATGCTAACTTTAGCCTGATAGCAGTAAAAGTGCACGTCCCACCGCAGTCCAAAATCGCAGTCGAAAGCCTCCTGAAAACATGAACGCGCACAGCCAAGAAGACCGGAGATAACTTTAATGCAATACATCATGTGTCATTCACCGGTGAGAAAACTTTACAGTGCAGTTAGTAACAGTACTACAATACCAAACCTAAACAAATTCTTAAAAACAGAATTAGATGCAGCAAGTTTTCGGTTTTAGCTAGCAAAACTTGTCAGTTTGTAATAATATTTCTTGCATGACAGGGTTTCCACGATGAGAGTCTGCTTAGCTCCGATGAAGATATATATTATTTTAAGGCGCCTTTTGACACTCAAGGTCACCATACATCAACAAAACAATAACAATATTTAAGTAAAAAACTATGTAATACAATATAATTAAAAATACAATGCAGTTGTGATCAGAAGGAGTAAGCTATTTTAAAAAGATGGGTTTTGAGTTTTGATTTAAAATGCGAGAGGGAATCAATATTACGGCGGTCCGGTGAAAGCGAGTTCCAGAGCTGAGGAGCAGAGCAACTGAAAGCTCTGCTCCGCATAGTAACAAGGCGGACACGGGGAACAGTGAAATGGATGGAAGAAGAGGATCTAAGAGTGCGAGCGGGTGTGGGTATATGGAGAAGATCAAAAAAGATATGAAGGGGCGAGATTATGAATGACTTTAAAAGTGAGGAGAAGTATTTTATAGTTGATACGGTAAATGATAGGGAGCCAATGGAGCTGCTGTAAGATAGGAGTGATGTGATGAATAGAGGGGTACGAGTGATAATACGAGCAGCTGAATTTTGGACCATTTGAAGTTTACGGAGGGTTTTATGCGGGAGGCCAAACAAAAGGGAATTGCAGTAATCTAAACGAGAAGTGACTAAACTATGAACAAGAATGGCAGTGGAGTGAGGCGTGAGGAAAGGGCGCAGACGGTTGATATTTCGAAGATGATAGTAAGCAGACCGGGTAACATTATTAACATGAGACGTAAAAGAGAGGGCGCTATCGAAGATGACACCCAGGGCCAGATGTACGTACATTTGCGAACGCAGCGTTAATAGCGCCATGGCCAAGACGCAGAAAGCGCTTGATGTGAAACCGCAGTCTGCGTGTTATGTACTAAACCTGCAGTTCATCAGGTAATCAGCGCCCGTCCCCACCCACTATACCGTAGATTGCGCGTATTTAAAAGCGCAATTGAATGGGTCTCCTCCTCTTACTGCTGATGCTATGACTGTTTGAAATGATCCTGATACCAATAATTGTAATGTAGCGAGGAGTTTAACAACTGCTGGAATGGAATATGAACGCTGAGTCGGAGATTCGATGTCATCTTTGATTTCTTCCAGTAACTGTAATATTGCGTAGCTGCTTAATCTGTCTTAATGATTTAGTTTTCACTCAACTGAAAAAGTGTGATTCTTGTGGCAAAAAATCTTTTCAGCTCATCTCCTTAGCCTATGTCTTCGTCTTGCTCGGATTACTGCTGCCATTTCACCAGGAGGCATATGCCAGGAAACCCGCTTCCTAAGTTACACCTGCTTTTAAGAAGCGGAGAATTTTCAGCGCAAAATAGAGGCGCGCTTTCACAGGCTTTTTCTGTACATAACGCGGAATACATAATTAGGCGCAGTTTACGCTTCCCCTCCCATCTCTTTCTGTGACACTCCCACTTTCCCCTTGACCATCCCATGAATGCATATGCATGACACGAAAAGCGCATTTTGCCATTTTCATCTCCCGCGACAGGCAGTCTGCGCTTTCATCTCGGTGCATCCAGTTCGTATATACCTCGCCGTGGTTTTATGTACCTATAAGAAGCAATTCTGTTGTATTGCTATTTAATTTAAGGAAGTTTGAAGTGAACCAGGATTTTATGTCAAGACAACAGTTAGTAAGGGAAGATGGTGGAAGTTTTGAATTAGGTTTGGTTGAAAGATAGAGCTGGGTGTCATCTGCATAGCAATGGAACTGAATCTGATATTTACGGAAGATGTGATCAAGAGGGAGAAGATAAATAATGAACAGTAGGGGCCCCAGGACAGAGCCCTGGGGCTCTCCTGTGATGACAGGGACTGAATGAGAGGTGAATGATTTTAACTGAATGAACTGAGTGCGGCCTGAGAGATAGGAAAAAAACAGTTAGGAGGTGTGTTAGTGATACCAATAGAGGAGAGTCTGTCTAAAAGGATAGTGTGTGAAATTGTATCGAAGGCCGCGCTCAAATCAAGCAGAAGGAGAATGGATAGTAAACCAGAGTCAGCAGCAGAAGGTCATTAGTGATTTTAAGGAGTGCCGTTTCTGTTCTATGAAGAGGACGGAAACCAGACTGGAATTGTTCATATAGATTATTGTAGGAAAGATCGTAGATCCTTTGCCAGTGCCACTTGTTGTCGGTTTAGAAGGAAAGTTAGGTTGATGCTGCTTGCCTCCTATACTAGCTCTGTCTGCACAGTGTACGTGAATGTGCTGATGACTTATTATGTCTGCGTGAACAGCCTGTGCAGTCGCATGCAAACACATGTTGACTGGCAGGGAACACATGCTATAGGACCGTTCGGACCGAACACAACGATTGAACGAACATGTTATGGTCCTACGCCTTCCACAGACGACATATTTATAAAAAATACATTTAGACCGCTTAACAGAGTGATTGCTATCAGGATATGAGGAGACTTTCAACCAGCATAACAAAAAAAAATTCTGCAGAGAATCACCTACGGCACCTTTAAGTATTATCTTTGCGATACTACCAAAACAATACAGATTCACAAATGAATTTTACAACTAAAATATTCTATTGGACTACATATGAGCTCTCCCTTCATGAAAGTATGAAATCTTGTTAGAAACAGTGCAGATATGAGAAGATACTCTTGATGATACTAAATGTGCTTCTGCAATCAAAAGGCATTCAGCACACAATTTAGACTGCAAATGAAGCTTCAAAATCAGTGGTGAAATGAGCCACAAACACGTAACTCTGTTTGGGTATGCGTGATATAGGACTTTGTAGATTATGTGGTAATGATTATGTGGTTATGAGGAGGAATAAGTGAGAAACAAGCAAGCATGATATCTAGATTTCTCTGTGAGTGTGTATTTTCTCATTACCTAGCAGCTCCATGGCATCATCCTCATCTTCCATCTCGTCTTCAGTGACTGAGGGGGCCGAGTCAGGCATGGAGTCAAACGAGTCCTGAGACAACATGGCTGCCAGAAGTTTCTTGTGATTCTGTTGCTGCTGTTTTAGTCCTTTACCCTTCGTCTCCATTTTCAAGCTGCAGACAAAGAGAAAGAGAAGAAACTTCTCTGAATATAGTTTTAGCATCTAGAACAGTGGTTCTCAACCAGGTGGCCAGGGCCCAATAGGGGGCCTAAGCAAACTTCCAAGGGTGTGTTTCAAAGCGTAACACGTCTCCAAGCCAATATATTCGGGTGTAACTACGCTTCCCCAAGCTTTAGCATGGATTTAGGTTATAACTCGTGAGACCGAGCCATTTCTCCGACATTGGCAAAAGACTATAGTGCAAAAAACGGTCCGTGATATCTCAATGAGAATCCAGTTGCTATAGAACCATGAGCCATGATTACTACAATAACAGAAACCAAAAGGATAGAACCAAAAGGTTAGTGTGAGCAAGAACGCTCAAATATATTTTCAAACTTGACAACTGGTCCACGGATTGCACCAAGGATCACAGTGTATCACAACATAGAAATAATAAAGTTAGCGGGAGACCGCCAAACCTATCAGTGTGGTAAACACTAGCCACCGGATAGCACCGAGAAGCCCGAGAAGAGTTACAGACATGACATAAAATCTGACAAATAAACTAAAAACTCACCAAATGTCAGAAAATTAATCCAATCCAATTATATTAATGCTGTCAGGCGAGAAAAAAAAAGAGACTGAAGGCTGACCTAATGTGGGTATAATCCTTGAGGCTGAGCCTACATAACTACAAGACTTTGTTGGTATATTATCTCGACTTATCTATCTGGCGCTGCGATAATCTACTAGTGCTTGAGAACCACCTCTTGCAGTCAGGTGGAATGAAACAGAACTATTGTTCAAAAAGGTTGAGAACCACTGATCTAGAACACATTGTAGTTGTCAAGGTTTTGTGTATATGGTAATAGACTGTAGAGAGTGGGCATAATATTATTAGAAACAATGCACAGCCAGATTCGAACATGCATTACCCAACCAAGCACTATGGCTATTGGCTAGTCAACAGTTTCGACCTGTAGATGCTTTTTTTTGCCTTTTAATAATATTTTAAGAAATACATAAAATTGTCAAAAAATGCTAGTAAAGATTAGGAAATACTCCACTTATGTCATCTTGACTAACTATTAAGACCTCAGCTAGGGCGTGCTGAATCTTTCAAGAGCAACATCATCCTTCTCAACAAACATCAAGAGATAATATACTTCTACATTAAACTATATAAGAGAGAAGAGGAAACTGACTTGCGATCAGCTAAAATCAGCAGGCTGCTCTGTCAAAAAAATCTCAGCCATTTCAGCAACAGACTTCACAGTCATTATCTTCCAGTCACACACAATCTTTCTTCCACAATTAAGTTCTACCTGAAATATATGTACTGTACTGTACACTCTTAAAAAATAAGGTTCTTTATAGGAGTCAAAATCTGCTAAGGAACTGTGAAATGTAACAAATCATGTAAAATGAAATCATCTTTTATTGGAAAATTAAACAATTTATCAAACTTTTTTTAACAATCTTTTAAATAACTGAGAAGATAGTGATCAAACTACATTTTATAAAGATGTCAAGTTCCCGAATCTATGGTTATATGAGTCAGTTATGTATTAGGTACGTTATCGTCTCTGACATCTTCTCATGGCATGTTGAAGCCGCTCAAGCCACCATTTTAAACCTCTTCTCGGAAAGCGATGTCATAGTCAAAACATCCGGTAAAGTGGGTTTTCCAGGAAACGTGTACCGTACTCGTTGGACCTGCTTCTCGCAAATACTACCATGTATTGTGCATGTTATTTTTTAACAGAGACAGTTGTCGTGACATTAAAACAATGTGGATATAAAAACAGATGGATCTGATAGGTAATTATTATTTACTTCTTAGCTGGCAAGTATTCAGTTAAGTGATTGATGCCCAATGAGTGTGTTGTTTTTAGTTCAAATATACCAACCAACAGCAAGCCTACGTTTTTGACAGACGCGATAATGTGCATAAAGGCCGAACTATATTTAATTTTTAGGTAATTATAAAACGTGTTGGAGACGTTCAAAATTATTTTTGCGTTGTTCATTATACTCATTTTACGGAATGTTACAGAAGTTTATTTTGCGGCTTAAATTATTTGTTACTCAGAGACTGACAGGTTTGGCATGTCAAAAATGTTATACTCATATTTTTACAGGAAGAGTGGTTTTGATGCACAAAGTTGTTTTTATTGTGCCTTATAACAAAAAAAAACTTTTTTAAACCTGTTGATAATAGTGACACTTTTTAAAACTTGTTCCATTATTACCCCTTAGCAGATCTGGACTCATAGGCATTTCCATTAACATCCATGGAAACATTCAACATTCCTTATTGAAGAAAAAACGTAATTTAGATTTCTAAAATGTTTGATAATGTTAGTTTTATCTATATTACAAATCTTTAACACGTTAAAAATAGGCAAGAAATAGGGTTCAGTTCTGAACTTCTGGGTCAAAAATACCAGGTCAATTATTCCATTTTGAGCGAACTGATGGAGAAATAAATTAAATGAATAATAAGCATATGGTTGTCACATGTCGATACTGGCAAAATTATTGCCATGTCTCACTGATAAAGAGTGGCAAAAATAGTCTGCAAGGGGTTAATTTGATCGTTATCTTATTGGAATAACATTATCGAAAGGTTATGGTGCTGTTTTAATATCCTGAGTTGAACATTACTATGCTAATGGCTATGCTAATACTGCACATCCCCTCTACTATGGATCATTTAGACCTTTTTTTCCCCCTAACTGAGCATCACTCAGCCAATTCTCAGCTCTCCTGTAGTGTACTACAGCATCAGCAATGCTGAGACACATATCCCAGTGCTCATAAAAATTCATATGAACACTAATTTCACTGTTTGAAACACAGCAAGAAACAGAGTACAGATACTGTTTTCATTATCACTGTATTCTGCACTTGCATGTTAATACTTTTAAGCTTTTTGTTCTTTTTCACATAGAGAATGGGGATGACTGAGATAGAGGAAATACAAGATGGATGCAAAGCTGAAAATCCCACAAGAGCATTATGGCTCTAAAATATCATGATATATGATTAAAGTAAATTGGTAATTATTCAGGACCATGATGCTGTATACAATGGGATCCAATATCATTAGTGTCAGGGTTCTAAGGTGTTATCTGTATTTGTGTTACTATGAGTTGGTGTTTCTCAGTCATTTGTCTCCTTGGTTACTGATTGATTAGTGTGCACCTGATGTGGTTTTGCTTGATTAGTTGACTCTTGTTATTTAAGCCCTGTATTTTGTTCAGTTCTTTGTCCGATCTCGTCTTATGAAGTTTGGTTGTTCTGTTCCCAGGTCTCTAATGCTGGGTACACACCAAAAGATTTTTTACATCTTATAAGATTTTCAAAATGTGATAGACCACAAACATGAGGACAAAAAATCCTAGATTTAAGCGTTTTGCTCCTATAGTGTGTGGTGTGCCATGATGTGACAAAGACAGCACACCACACACGAACAGATTTTCAACCAGAGTCTCGACTGTGAACAAAGGAAATCTCACAAAATCTCGCGAGACTTCAGAATAAGCTTGGCGGACGATATGCAGGAAGAAATTGCGATGATAGTGTTTGGAATGATTTTCACAGAAAAAACATTTGTGCTGTTGCCACAAATCAACAAGCTGATCCTCCATCTCTGCTGTCCACGTCAATTTAACTTTTTGCAACGCCATGACTGCGTTTGTTATGCTTCCGTCTTCCATCATCTCGCTTTCTGATTGGATATTGTTTCGTTTCACGTGATAATCTCCAGAGCGTGCGCACGTTTGTCATCGGGGTTCCCCCCACACATCAGGATTTCTGATCGTAAATATTCAACATGTTGAATATTTACGATTTGCGATCGGGGCGGCTCCGACGTTCTTCCGAGCAGGTTCGGACACACCTCACACCAAGGGGAAATCTGATAAAATAATCTGTAGAACCATCAAGATAATCTGGACATAGCTAGGATTGTCGGAATGGGGAAAATCGGCCCAAAATCAGCCCGATTATCTTTTGGTGTGTACCCAGCATAAGTTTAAGGGTACATTTACACGACAACGATATGCTTAAAACGGAGACGTTTTTCCTTTGAGTTTTCATTGTCAAAACGATCCCCATTCACACGGATCCGCGAAAACAACTAACAACCCTGTATTCTACTGCCAGGCCATTATATGGCAATGAAACACTATAGACTGAACATATAATACGCATGTGCATGACGTCAACATTTTCAGAGATTTGCGTTTTTGTTGTTTACACGGAGACCGTTTTCAAAAACTTGCACTTTGAAACCCGTTTTCAAAAGTTTGCGTTTTCAGGCACCCAGAACGCCATTGTCTCAACCAAACATGACACTTAAGCCACTCGTGAAGAAGCTTTCATTTATTCAAGCTTACCAATTTATTTCAATATAAAGTATGATTAGAGGTTTTGGGGGTAACGCATTACAAGTAACGCGAGTTACTTACAAGTAATGAGTTACTTAATCAGATTACTTTTAAATAACTAGTAAAATAATGCATTACAATAAAATACCTGAGTTCCATTTTCAAATAATGTAAGTACCACAAGTTACTTTTTTTCCCCATTTATTGACTGACACCTCTCCTGTCCCCATTTTGAGAGAAATCGGGAGTAAGTGCAGAGGCGTTGTGGAAAACTAGTATTTACAATAATTCTGATAACAGTATCATTGCTGACAATAGTTTAACTTTCTTCTCCTGCATTCTATTCTTCTGCAATCCAATATGGCAGCACAGCTGAAAGGTTTGTTTGAGCTGCGCCCTCTACTGCACAGACATGAATTTGCATTTCCTTCAGATTGAAGCTTATTCATATAACTTTTTGGGTATGAAAGGGTAACTTAGCCAAAAATAGATTTTTGTTGTTGTTGTATTAAAAAACAAGCAAGAAAGCCCTGCCCAGGTGAGAAAAAGTAGGCCTAACACAAAAGTAACATAACGCATTACTTTCCATAAAAAGTAAATAGGTAATGTAATTAGT